CGCGCTCGCTCCTCCCGCCGGTGCCGGACGGAGCGCACGGGGGGACCGGGCACCGGTGCTGCCCTGCCCGAGCCGCCCCGGTGGGACGGGGCGGGCCCGGCCGCCCCCCGCTCCCGCCCCGCAGGGCAGCCGGTTTCGCTCAGGTCCCGACGTGAGGCGTTGCGGGCGGCGGGGAGCGGGAGGAGATGCCGAGCGTGGGTCCGAGGCGCCGGCCAGGCTGTGCGTGCGCTTCGCTGGCAGCCTCGGAGCAGGTTGGCGTCTCGGTAAGAGCGGGCTCTGCGGGCGAAAGCCGCAGAATTTGCTGGGTCTCTGCCTGCCGCCTGCCCAGCGTCGTGTCCTCCCTCTCCTTGCGGGAGCCCGGGTTCCCACAGACCTAACGGGTCAGGCTCTGTGCTGCGATTTTTGCCGGGGTTTTGCCCGCACGGTAGTAGAGGCGAAAGACGCGAGGTCTGTTTACTTCTCATTTTTGAAAGCTTCCGACACTGCAGACACCTCTGAGGGAAACCCGGCTTAGGGAGTACCCTCTTCATTCCTGTATGGGACCTTTGGCAACCGGGGGCAACTTTCCTCATTGAGCCGAAGTAAGAAGGCAGTCGGGTGGAGGTTGGGGAAGAAACATTGTTGTGGTGGTCACTTATTTTTTGGGCGAGGTGTGCAAGTTCAGAACAGGGGTAGGACCGGTGAAGGTGCTGCTCTGCCTCCTGAGGAGGCTTCCGTTTATAGCTGGAAGTTCTCCTCCAAAACTGTCAAAACACTCTTGTGTAATTGACTTAACAGTTACCGTGACTCAAAGTACTTATTATTACCACAGGATGTTTGATGGTGATGGTGAAGTTTGTTGGGTTTGCCATGTTTTTTTAAAGGTTTTTGAATCACATTTTTCAAGTGTGGGTTAAAATGTAAACTGTGATTGTAACAGAAAAATAAGAGCAACAAACCCTGATTTGTGACGGTGATTCAACATGCAGTTCTCTCTGCTTTTCATGACTGGAACGTTTGCAGTGAAGACTCTTCTACAGGTTTGTTCTCCAAGAGGCAAAATGTGTATTCACAAGGATGCACTCTTGTACTGGAAGAGGTACCAGTCCTGTCATACAAACTTTAAATTTAGAAGTTACTGTGACAGAGATCAGAACCAGCATTGTGTGACTGGGGCATCAACCATATTATGCAAATATTAACAAACTGTAATTTCTGCAGGTAGCTCTTTTGTTTAAATGTTTATTGCATCCTAAAAACTTATATAGAAAGAAAAATCTGATTACTGTTGAAGACGTAACACAGGCTTATTGCTGAGGAAGTTCTGCAGCCTGCCAACTGTTATGCAGGTGGTCCTTAAAACTTAACCTGGGTATTGAACTCTGCATGCATATGTTCACATATTTTCCTTGATACTGAGTCTGTACCAGCTTGTGATACTTAAATACTAGAACACTAGATATTGCTCCTCTTCTTTTTTCTTCTTTTTTTTTTTTCGTTAAATATGCTTGTCCTTTCCCATGTCTGAGTGGGAGTCCACACAAACCAGAGAAACTGAGGAATTAGTTCCACATGAACTGTTACAGTGTACACAGTAAGCAAGGAGAGAGGTGATGGGGAGACTTGCGGTTTCTCTAGCCTTTATTATGTCAATGACAGTTTTGGAAATGGAAAATTTGAAAGTCTGCAGATAGCTAATTGTGTTTGTGGAACAGCTATGCAGCAGCAGCACCTCACATCTGAATGTCCCCTTCTTTTAAACTAAGACTTTTACAGAGAATAATGGGAAGCTGTTATGAGCTTGTTGTGCTTAAATACACAGGGTCCTGTTTGCTAGGCTTTGTATTGCTTTGTACTGAGCAAACTGTAACTGTCAAAGGTCTTATCCTGGGCTTGAGTGATCTCTCAGGCTACTGTGGTCAGAAGTGTCAACTTGTATCACTCGCTGTGTGCCAGGGAGAGGAGTGTGGCTAGTCCAGCTGTCACATCTGGGGGCATCTGAATTGATTTGAGATGCCTATAAGCATGGAGGCTCAAATTAACATCTCTCGGTTTTACAGTGAATTGCCTTTTCTCATGTGGTAGAATTATACCACAAGTTGAAGAGTGAGGGTGGACTTACTATCATGAAAGGCAGGAAAGGGAAAAATGTACAAATGTGGTGTTGAAGTTTCTTATTTTTTCTAGGAATAAACTTAAGGAACTTTAAAACTTTGTCTTTGTTCTAATCCTTAGATTTTGAAGCAAGTTTTATTCGCCTGATTGACAAAGTGACCAATGGCTCTCGGATTGAAATAAACCAAACAGGTGAGACCTGTTTTCCCTTCTTCCTCTGTTCTGGTCTTCTGGGCCCTACCAGTTGCTGCAGTGAAATCAAGGTTTTGTCTTGACAGAGGTAGGTGTTCAGGTATCATTGACTGAGAAGATCAGAAGTAAGCAAGATGAGAAGTGTTGTAGTAATTGATCACATGCAAGATGATCAGCTCTCCACCCTAGTGCAGAGAGTTAAGGAAACTGTATTGCTCAAGAATTAAAAGTAGTATTTTGTTTGGTATTCAAGATTTCGTAGTGGGGGAAGGTCCCTCTGAACTAGAACAGATTTTTGTAGAGGGACGGTTTGCCTTCCACAAAGGCAAACTTCTGAGCAAGACTGCTTGCCTAGTCATGCTCAGAAAAGGGATTGGTTTGAGCAACAAGCATCTCACAGAAAAATCTCATCTTGTTCTTGTCCTCTTTTCTTGGTTTTTTTGAGGATTATGGTTTGTCAGTAAAGCGGATGAACTACAACCAGGTACGCCAAGACAGCAATGACCTGTTGGTCTGATGAAGATTTGGTTGCTGTGAGGGATAATAATTGCTTGTATCAGCGTTTTGGCAATTGCTAAGAGATCCTTTATTTTGGGGAAGAAGAGGAAAGGAGGAGAAATTGTATGCAAGACAGACACGTGTGTTAGTCCATTTATTAACTGCAGACATAGAAATAGCATGCTGGAAGTGCTACCATCTTTCATAAATTCTTTTGTCTCCAATTTGCCTGTATACATCATTGCAAACTGTCTTTATGCTGTAGTAACAGCCAGTGTGCTGACAGCGCTCTCATTGGTTTGCTCCCCTGGCATCTCCCCCAGGTACTACCTTGTATTATCAACCTGGACTTCTGCATGGAGGCTCATTGGAACATGACTGCAGTCCCAGTCGTAGTATTGGCTACTATTTGGAAAGTCTGCTCTGCTTGGCACCTTTCATGAAACATCCATTGAAGATTGTCCTGAGGGGAGTAACAAACGATCAAGTAGATCCTTCAGTAAGTAATAAAATTTAAGTACCAGAGGAGGATTATTCCCCCCCCCCAAAATATTAGGAAGAAGTGTATAAAACATGTTGCACTTTTATCATCCCTCACATCCAGGAGTATCCAGTGTTACTGCATCTGCCAGCAAACTCTCTGAATCAAACAAGCATCTGCTATGCTGTTGCTCCTTTTCTGCATCACACTCCAAACTGCAGTTTGTAATCCACCTTTTGACTTTCAGTTCTGTACTGCATCTCTCTTCTCTCCTGGAAACTCCCTTTAAATGTGATGTGGGGCCCTGCCACTGGTTTGCTTCTACTGTTCTCTTAGAAATTAGATGGGTTGTTTCTCCTACCCCATGCATGTATTTACTGTAAAAAGAGGAAATTGTCTTTAAAATTTGAGTGTGACAAGGAAGGACTCTTTCTCTTCTCTTGGATGCTGGGCAGAGTTATACCGATGCTGCCGTGAAGCCTTCTTTCTATTAGAAACAGAAGTCGTGACAATTATGAAATTACAGTAGCAAAAATATGTAATAACTCTGATTCTTCAGAAAGGTGCTAGAAGGTGCATTAGATCAAATGACTATGAAATGCTTGCCTTGATTTCTGTTACTGCTGATTTACAGTCCTTTGTTTTAGCAATGTTGTTACAAAAAAGAGCTATGGATATTGTGGGATTAAAACAGTGAAGCAATGTTCCTTCTACCCCACCCGCACCCCAAGAAAACCCAAACATAATGGCTTTTGGAGGACAGCACTGCTGTGTTTACCTTTTGAATGGTGATTGGAGACTGCCTGTTTTCCTCTGAGTAGATCAAGGAAACATTGTTATGTGAAAACTTAACCAGTTCCAATGAATACAAATACTATGAAGTATATTTGCAGATACTAGATGAGCCTCCGAGTCCTGCTGGTATTTATGGCTTTTCAATTGTGCTTCTCTTGTCATTTAAAAAACGTGTTCTCTCGCCTGTGGCTCTGGGAGACACCCATATGAGTCGGATGATTGAAGTGGGTGATACACAGCACTGTCAAAAAAAAGAAAAAAGTAAAATGGGAAGCATGTTTTGCTAACCTTTCAGTCACCGTGATTAAAAGTACTTAATAGAAATGGTAAGTAGTGGGAATCAAAGAAGTCTCTTTTGGTTGACTGCGTCTTTTTAATCACAATGGAGAAATTTTTTAAGAATTTGGAGACAAAGAGCTGTCCAATCTTAATGTTGCTTTCAAGTAAGTTTGGACGCTCACCTAAGCAACTGAGTCTTGAGTCTGGAAATTATCCCTTTTCAGGCATCAGTCACATGGGCCAATAGAGATTAAACAATTTTAGTTGAAATGGGTGTGAGAATTTGAGCCAGTTAGTTTGTGCTTGAAGGGGGCTTGGACTGGCCAAAGCTCAGACACAGGCAGGTGTTGACATACATCAGCTGGATCACAGTACCTGACACTAAGTGTAAATAAAATTCAGGTGTACATGCTAAGGAGTTATATTGTAAGTTCATTGTGCTGTAGAAGCACAACTGTAGTTACTGTGACTCAGCTGATGTGTAGTAACTTTTTAAGTGGAGATAACTGAATATCAGTTCCTAAAACTGATTTAAACCTGGTTTATGTCCATTTAACTTGCCTGAGTAAACATTAAACCTGGTGCACACCAATAAACTACTTAAAGGAGTTTTACAAGCGGTTTTGTATAGCATATGGCTCTGCAGGTTGCTGAGATTAAAAGCACAAGTTTAAGTGCTACCCTAAGTGATTTATGTGCTTAAGTAAATGGAAACTTGGTTTTAAATTGATTTGGGCTTTTATTTTTCAGTAGGCAGAAGGTATTTAGAAACTAGGTGAACATTTATTAGCTATGCTTGCCCAAAAAGGGATGCTTAAATTTGTCTATCTGTCTGTACGCTTTCTGGCTTTCCAAGGAGAAAGGGGAAAGGCAAACCAATGTAAATATATTGTGGGTAGTTTAAAATGGGCAAGGAGTTTTCCCTGCTGCTCTTCATCCAAGAAACTCTCCATCTCCAAAAGAGTACTGTGGCCACTGAGATACAGGGTAATGTGCACTTGTTTCAAGTTGGACCATGGTGACAATTGTGTGTGAGTGATACACATCCTAAATGAGTGAGAGGGATACTACTTTGCTCACACTTGTCGGGAAGAGGCGTGACTTTGGAATACCAGCCTGAACTGTTCACTGGCAGCCTACATTTGCATTATGTTTTTCTGCATGGCCACTGATGAGACATGACTGGGGATAGCTTGTGGGACCAGCCATGTGGGACTGGTGTATAGAGTTGAGGTAGTTTCAAGTTTCTCTGTATAGAGAGCATGGGGGGGGGGGTGTAAACTGCCTTTTTGAAGTGAAGGGAGGTGGCACACAAATGGTAGCTCTTATTTTCCTTTCCTTCTCTACCTGTTGTTATCTGACAGATACGTAGTGCTGCAATAACCTGGTTTTAGAATAATCATTCTTAATGTTTAGGTTTGCAAGTGTTTAAGTTTTTTTACAGCTATGCAGTGGGACTTTCAACTGAAATGACTTTCATGCTGGCAGGAGATTAGCATATGAAGTTTTGGCTTGGGAGCAATAATCTTCAATGTTAATCAAAATTCAGCAGTTGTCTGTAATCCCAGGAAAACAAGTTTTTCCTACTGACTTTTCTGTCTTTATTTTTTCCTCCTTAACTCTGGTTTCACTCTTCCCCACCCCTCCCCCAAGTCTAGGTCCTTGTCCCCAAAACATAATGCTGTATGTATGGCAGGGATAAATGCTCTTCTGTGCAGTGCGAAGGCTTGCCCCTTTCCTAGGTAGCCGTGTGCTGTAGGGTCTGTGTCTGGTTGTTTTGCAGCTTTGCACTAAGGGATTCTGCAAACCACTAAAAGTTAGTAAAGTTACTTTTCTTTTTTTTTTTTTTTTAATCATTGTAGATTTCTTTAAAGGCAAAAGGTTTGTATTCACGCTGGTTTGTGAACAAGCAATGTTTATGGGACTTAGCAAGTTGTTGGCATATGTGGTGAGGTATGCCCTTGGTTGTGTGATGAAGCTGAAGGATGGTTTTATGGCTGAGTATACACCAGAGACTAGACAATACAGTTTTAGGTCTCAGTTCTGCTACCGTCTTGTGATTTCCAGTGACGTACTTAACCTCTCCTGCCTGAACTCCCACTCGTCTGCTAAGCAGAACAGCCTTTTCCGCTTCTTCAGATACTGCTGATTACCTTCTTTATTTAGTCTGCAAATTGGAACAGAGACAGTCTCTTATTATGTGTCTGTCTGGTACCTGATAAGTATAATGCCTGGAATTTGTCTGAGGACTAAAAACTGTGACAAGTCTTGACATATTTGGAAACAGACAAACCAGACTCAGAATTGATCCAGCTTCTCAATGCTGGCATAACATGCTTTCTCCAGAGATACAGACTTCAGTCCAAAGAATTGCAAAAGTGGAAATGGAGGAGGGAAAGGGAGTTCCTAACCTACACAGTGAAGCTTTACTTTTTTTACTGGTGTATTTTGTTTCATAAGAAAGAGGGAGAAATATTGTGTAACTTTAATGTGAACCAGATCAGCTTGTTCGAACTTCTGCCAGTGGTATTCACGTGTATCTTATGTGTATGCACATGCGTGTTAGTAAAGGTTTTTGCTCTAAAAGTCAAATTTGTGAGATTAATGAATACTACTGAGGGGCTGAATTAAGGTAGCCTGGCTGTAAAAAATATAAAATATATAAATATAAAAAATAATCATTGACTTAGAGGGTTTTTTAATGAAGACATTCAATTATTGATATTACCATTACCAAATGCCTCTCTGTAAGAAAGGAAGTATGTTGGCCAGCAGAGTTTGAAGAATGAGAACTGTAGCTACTCAGGTAGCTCTAACAGGTTATTTACAGCTTTGTAGGTGAGGTACGTGCTACTACTTCGTCAGTGGCTTGCACTCTCTGCAAAACAGAGAGAAACTTAATTGTGGATTCTGGCTGAAGGTGTGGCAAGGAGGGTGCTTTTTTCCTGCCTCTTCAACTGGTGTCTACCGCATACTCATTTCCTTCATCTGAGTTTAGTTCCTCTTTGGTCATGCTGTCCTGGTCCTGTCTGTCCCAAGCTGCTTGTCTTGGGTAACTACCTGTGCTGTTGCACTGCTAAATCATTTTTGTCACCTTCAGCAATGCTACTGAAGTTTCTGCAGAGGGAAGAAGATGGCAGTCACTGTTGTCTTATGTCAGCAATTAGGAGGAGCAATGGCAAGTAAAATACTGCTCAGACCTGGATCTGGTGAGCATCTGGCTCAAAGGGAGTGCGTGGATGATGTGTCACCCACTTCAGATTCTTCTGAGTATTTCAACAGAAGTTACCTAGAAGCTTCTGTTTCTCAGAAACAGATGAGAAGAAGTTCTTCACAGAAGGATGAGGTTCTTCCTGCCAAATGAAGGGCCTGCTCCAAAATGCAGAGGTTCTTGCAAACATAATTTATTGAGCTGTAGGAATTTTTTAGCAATGACAGAAGAATATAATTTTTTCAATAGCTGTGTTCAGAGAAACAAATGAGCTAGTTTAGCTGAACGATAATAGAAATAAAAATCAGGCTGAGGAAGAAATCCAGAGTGGGAAATTGCACCTCCCAGGAATATGTTCTAGCAAATTTTTTGAGTAATGAGATACTGTGGTAGTCTAAGAGTAGCCAAAGCTCTCTGTGCTGCATTCGCATGTCTTTCCATAGAATACATAGTATGGGGAAGCCTTGCCTTTTTTAGGCACCTCATAATGCAATGATTTTTAAATTACTGACTTATGTAACTTCCAATAAAGAGTCTGCTTTTTTAATTCTGTGTTCTATAGGTTGATGTTCTTAAGGCAACAGCTCTACCCCTACTGAAGAAGTTTGGAATTGATGGTGAAAGTCTGGAAATCAAGGTGAGACAATTTGTTCCTCTTTCCTAGCACATGTTGAAATGGTACTTTTGCACTGCTTCACAGGGCCATGTGCTTGCTGCCAGTATCTGTATCTAGCAGATTTCTAGTTGTAGCTGCACACAACTTCTAAAATTGCCTCTTGTTCTTGGCATGTTTTAAATGGCATACCAGCCACACAGTGATTGAATATGTGGTGGAAGAGAGATGCAAAGGCTATAGGTAGGGAGGGTAGGGAGAAAGTAGTGACTTTTCTTAGTCTGCAAGATCTATGCAAGTTAAGAAACTTTTTTGCTTTATTGTTCCTCTTCAGTTCATTTAATTTCTTTTTCCTTCCACTTGCTCTTCCTGCCCTGTGCTTAGGGCTAGGGAATAATAGTAGAATCTTTTGCCTCCTTCACCAGTAGAGGAGCTGGATCTGTGTTTGGGTGATTGGGGTTTGCTTCCAGTTTGGAAAATACAGGAAGGAAACTTTTCTTTAAAGACTACACTCTTCACAGGCCCAATAGATCTGGATGTAGAATAGATTTTTTTAGGCTGGAGAAAGAAACTGTAGCCTTTCAATGCTCATTTAAAATGTGTGAAGGCCCTGCCTGGCCATGGGCCCCCTGAGCCAGACCCACCCATGAGCCCGTGTTCCATCCCCATCCTTATGGTTGTTGGGTGGAGTGGTGGGACAGGTTCGGGCCGGGCGGGCCTGTTTGTGGGAATGTGTTCATTCTGGTCCCCCATATACATACTAAGCGTAGAACACTTCTAGACTTTCTTCAGCAGTGAGATACAGATTTGGTGTTAAGAGACCAATCTTAAGCTAAGGTTGCCTTCCTGGTAAAGTTGTTGGGTTTTTGGTTGGTTGGTTTGGTTTTGTTTTCCATTGAGAAGCCATGCACTACTGTATTTTAGAGAGAGGAGGAAAAAAGAAATGAATTTTTGCATATAGGTTCAGTGCAAAATCCAGTTCTGCCTTTAGGATGTCTTTTTCTCACCTATGTTCACATAATAACCCTACTGAGAACATTTTATTATATGTGAAATAAAAGCTATCATTTTTGAGTGCGTAAGTACATTCCTCATGCTCTTTACTAACTTGCTTTTTTCCTCCATTACTGTTTCTAGATCAACCGTAGAGGAATGCCTCCCAAAGGGGGTGGAGAGATACTGTTTGCTTGCCCAGTGAGAAAGGTCTTGCAGCCTATTCAGTTCACAGACCCTGGCAAAATCAAGCGCATCAGAGGAACTGCGTATCCTTGTTTGTTTGTTTTTCTTCTTTTAAACGAGTTTGCCTTAAAAAAATTAAGTCTCCGAACTTGAAGTTGTGGAAGTGCACCCATGTGGCTGAGCAAGTGTCCAGATAACACAGAGTGACATTACACAGAGGCATCACGCAAATAGATTTCAAGACCATGTCTCAAAAATGCTGTGTTCAGAACACTCCTGTTCAAAAAGTGTTAGTAGACAACTAAATGAATTTAAAACTGAACAGCACCATTTAAAATCTTTTCAATAGCAAGAAAAAGTTAAAATACCTTCCATCACATAATGTAGCAGCACTAAAAGGAATCTTGCCTTGTGTGTAAAACCAGTAGTAACAAATGTAGTTTTGTTAAGTATTGAATAGGTGGCATCTTGGCTGTTAATGAGTCTAGCAGAATGTTAGATGGGAGCTTAAGTCTTAGTTCAGTTTACACCTCATAGCACACGTGTGAACTGAGCTTTTTGTTGTGTTATGAAAAGCAGTTTGTTAGCTCTTCACTGTCAGTAGTACCATTGGAGATGGAACTGGAGGAGGTATTACTTCTGCATAAAGATAAAGGGCACAAAATGTTGTGGAGTACTCGCTTTTGCAAACAGAACTGCACATCTAGTTAATGTTTTGGGTTTGGGTTTTTTTTTCTTTATTTTTCTCTTCTGGTTCTTATATGGTAACTGTCATGAATCTGCTGTCACTGTAGGAAGCAGGCAGAAATACCTTGCAGGTAAGGTATACTAGAGGTTGTATTTCATGAGGTCCTGCTCTCTATTGAGCATTGGTCAACTTGTAGTTTAATTTGTGATTATAAGAGCCCCAAAAATGATCTGGCTTTGATTACTCAAAAGGAATGCAGGAATGCGGGCAGGTTTCCTGCCACAGGGGCAGACTTGCAGCCTGTTCCTCCTTTTACTTGGTGGCATACCAACATAATTGTGTGTGAGAACAGGACACTGTGACCTCTGTTCCCAAACTGCAGCATTTGGATGAGTGCAGCTTTGCCAAGTGAGAGCAATTTTACTGGGTGCATATGCTGTTGAATAAAAAGGAGGCAGGTCATTGTACTTTTAGTGGAGTTTGTCATCGTCTTTCCATGAAGAAAGTAATTCCCTTGTGCCCCCATCCACCTCTGTAGCAAGTAGTTCTATTCTCTGTTTCTGTGTGAAGGAGGAAGCAATGATCATGGCTTTAGTGCCATCTTTCTAAATTGATGTTAATACACAGCACCATTCTGGGCCACTTTGACTGGATTTGGTCGACGTATGTGAGCTACAGGTTTTTGAACTTCCACTTTCCTTTAGGTTTTCCTGGGCTTTTTCTCAGGGATGAAGGTTTGCCTTTAGTAAGCCCAGTGAGAGGCAGTGTAATTTTAGTTTAGCCTTTAAGTGGCCCTTAAAACCAATAGAAAACAAAACATCTGGAAGGATAAGTGCTTAGATCTTTTGTATGTGCATTTTCGTCCCTTCAAGGTTCAACTGAGCAAATCTTCCTCACAGCTGGGGAGCTTGTGTTGCAGCAACCTTTTGTAGTCATCCAAAATACTGAGTACGCCAGCTGTGCAGAACGATCAGTTTTTTGATTATTATTGACTGGTTTTGCCATTAAGATATTAAAGCTTTTGGTTTACCTATTCCACAAGAAAATGCAAGAGGAATTTGTAGAAAAGGAAATTCCCTTCTGCCAGCTGGGAGGTTTGAGACTCTGTTTCCCTGCATTGCTGTGTGCATGTGGGCGCAGATGGGTGGTTAAACGTGCAGAGCATGAGTCTGCATTATAGTTGGGATGGAATTTGGAGCACTATGTGCTTTGTACATTTGAAGATCTGTTGGGAATATCACTGAAGCAGCACCTGAGTAAAAGGGCATAAAGGCAGTTCATCTCTTGTGTACTGTGAGGAGGTGGGTGGGGTGAGCAGCATGGTGGTAATTTCTTCTTCCCTGGAACTGTTACCCACACATGCTGAGTGACTAGAGAACCAGTGAACATGATAGCCTCACAGCACTGCAAAATAGTTGGAGAGAGCAAAGATTTTCTTTTTTTTTTTTTTAGCCTTTTGAAACTAATTTTTTCTTTTGTTAAAACATTCGTCTTTAATTTCATCTACCCAATTTCTCCCTGATAGAAATACAAAAACAGGATTTCTTGCTGCTAATTTAGAGAAACTTCACTCATCACCATCTTTTAGTAGTATATGAAGAGCAGAGCATGCAGAACTTCCTCCCTTATAAGAAAGCACAGGTTGACAGAAAAGCAGTTTAAAATTACTGAATGGCATTTTTAAGATAGATGTTTGCCTAGTCACAATAAGCTGTTCTGCACATGTTCTGTGTACTTCACTTCAACATGTATCAGTGAAAAGACTGTAGGAAGCACTCAGAAAAATGGACCAGTGCTCATGAATGGATGTATAGGACAAAACCACATTGCTGAAATAATGCATTAGGACCTCTTGGCCACTTTTGTCAGTCTCTGGTTTAATTTTCTTTTGTGACCACAATTAATTTCTTAGCTTGGAAATGTAGATACTCTGTCAGAGTGTCACCACAGATGGCAAACAGAATGGTGGAATCTGCAAGGAGCATCCTGAATAAATTCCTCCCAGACATTTATATCTACACGGATCATATGAAGGGGGTCAGCTCTGGAAAGTGAGTATCCAGTATTCACAGGGAACAGAAATGTAATTCTGCATTTGTTCATCTGTTAGGGTGTTCTGATTTGTAATTTTATTGAGTTTTAGACAGTGATCTTCTATTTTGCTGACTTGAAATAAATATTCCTCCTGGGGAAAAAATTGAATGATTCAATTAGAAACACTTGTGTTACTAGTGGTACAGGCATATAAGTTGTGTGTTTTCTTAAACAAGGAATGTAATACATCGTTACTGCCACTAACAGGAACAGTTTTAAACCTGTTGCTTTGAAGTGAGACTAAGATCAGAGGTGCCATGCTGTAGTGTGAAAACCAACATTCAAACTTGACTGTACACCTTCTGATGGAAATGGTAGTATTAAGGATGGGACCAAACTGTTTTAGGAAGTGTTTGAGCTGTATGGGTTGTCTTCTGCTTTACCGTTACATAAACAGCTGAAGGAATGTCCTTTCACATAGCATATACAGCTAGGGGAAGAAGAAGGAAGTAGGGGACATTCAGGAGTGATGGCATTTGTCTTCCCAAGTAACCGTTATGTGTGATAGAACCCTGCTTTCCTGGAGATAGCTGAACACTTGCCTGCGAATGTGAAGGGCTGAGTGAATTCCTTGGTTTGCTTTACTTGCATGAGTGGCTTTTGCTTTACCTATTAAAATGCCTTTATCTCAGCCCAGGAATTTTCTCACTTTTACCCTTTTGATTCTGTCTCCCCATCCCACTGTGCGGGAAGTGAGTGAGTGGCTGCGTGGTACTTAGTTGCTGGCTGGGGTTAAACCATGACAATGCTCAATCCAAGCATGCACATTTTTTTTCACTGTTTCTGCTTTTTGAAATACTACCTTAAAGAAAATTTGTTACGTTTACAAATCTAAAAATTGTTGACTTACTTTTAAGTATTTTTCCTCTTTTCCAATCCTTCATCATATTTAATATCCCAGGTAAGTCAGTCTTGTGGCTCCAGACTGTTAACAGTGATCAAAATTGCAAAAACTTTTTTGGGAGCTGTGTGGTTTTGCAGTTTTTTTTTTTTTTTTTTTTTAATTTATCTGTCTATAAAAAGTCAAATTAATTGGGGCAGCAGCATTACATTTACTACTTGCTTGGCTAGCCTGTGCAGAGGGATAAATAATAGCATGGGAAGAGGAACTGAATCCCCCTCCACCTTGCTGGTGGATGTGGCTTTCTGATGCTGCTGTGCTGTCACATTCAGCGTAAGTATGGTGCCAATACAATTGCAGTATACCTGATACTAACATTGTGCCACTTTGGCAAAGCTTTTTTTATTACTTGGTTCCCAGTGCTTGTGTGTGTGTGTCTTAGCAGGACGGGGAAGGAAAGCAGTATGCCTCGTTGTTGGCAGTGATGCCTCTGGTGATGAGTAGGACCAGTGAGGACTAGTTCAGCCCATCTGTGCCCAGCCCAAACCAAGCCCTGATTTCAGAATATAAGGCGTTGGACTGCAGACCGTATCCCTTCCACAGTGCCAAAACCTTCAGGAAATACATTATATCTTCTGCCACCCATAATGTGTCTCTAAACAAAAACTTCCCAGTTCTGTTTTGAGCATTTGCAGCAAAAGAGTTTGCCTGTGCAGATGCTTCCTAATACTGTCTGCACATACATGAGGCAGTGGATGATTTTAATTTTTATTTAGGCAGATTGACACATGCTACTGAACACTAACAAAATCTGCCAGGGGGTATATTTATTAAAGGATACTTGTCCAAAAAATAACATCTTTGACACTGTTCTTTTCATGCTGTGTAGATCCCTCTCTTTCAGAGGAAGGAGAGGAGAAGAGAAGCGTCTTTAACATACCTTCTGTGTTGTTCAGCAAGTGCAGGCAGTTAAATGTGAGAGGGAACCACCGATATCTTTTTGTTCCTGCCCAACTGAAAAGCCTCTGGAGGAACTGTTGTTTTTCTGGCACTGGGAGAGTTTCTGTGTATGATGTTTGGGGTTTGTTTCTGTGGGTTGTTGATGTTGGTGACATTCCTTACAGTTTTGAGTCAGTGGGACTATTCTAATTAAGAAGCTGGGTGGTGGAGGCAGCAGGAGCCCAGAACTATGGGAAACCCTCTATGTGGAGTAAAGTTAAGTTAACCTTATTTGAATGGCTAGTTATTGGTGCTTTTCCAGAGCCTATAAATAAGAGGATCTTATGACTATTTTTTTTCTTTACTTACAACTTTCTGATTTCTCAGCAAGCTGTACTCAGCCATCGGTGACTTTGTTGTAGCAAAAGTGTTTCTTAACTCTCACAATACCATTTTGTAGGATCCTAAACTCAAAGGAAAACAGGGCGTTTTGGTTTCTTTCTTCAAATCATATGTTCAGAATTCTTACACAGTTGTAATGATTTAGATGGTATTGAACTCAAAGTGAAAAGAAGCAATTGGAAATACAAGTGTCATGGTTTAAGCCCAGCCAGCAACGAAGCACCATGCAGCTGCTCACTCACTTCTCCCCACTGAGTGGGATGGGGGACAGAATCAGGGAAAAACAAGTAAAACTTGTTGGTTGAAATAAGAACAGTTTATAGGACGGAAAGGAGGAAACTGATAATGATAATAATAACAATAATAAAATGACAATAATAATAATAATAATAGAATTGGAATATACAGAGCAAGTGATGCACAATGCAATTGCTCACCACCCACCAAGCAATGCCTAGTTAGTTCCCGAGCAGCAATTCCCCCACTCCCCCCAGTTTATATACTAGGCATGATGTCACATGGTATGGAATACCCCTTTGGCCAGTTTGGGTCAGGTGCCCTGGCTGTGTCCCCTCCCAACTTCTTATGCCCCTTCAGTCTTCTTGCTGGCTGGGTATGAGAAGCTGAAAAATCCTTGAATTTGGTTAAGGACTATTTGGCAACAACTGAAAACATCAGTGTGTTATCAACATCATTCTCATACTGAACCCAAAACATAGCACTATACCAGCTACTAGGAAGACAACTCTATCCCAGCTGAAACCAGGGAAGGCAATTAACATCAGAGTGGTTTCTGATTTAATACCTGCTGCACAAACATTAGACTAAGTAGCTGTTAGTGTTGTCAAAACACATTTGGCCTTTAGGAGGCAGTCATCTACAAATCGTACTTGATGTTTTAAGAGAATTGCTCTGAACTGGAATAACCTGATAGGACTTTGCAAAGTATTAAAAATGGCATTAATGAGATTCTGTGTTAGGTGATGTAGTCAATTATAAAAATACCCCTTAACCTCATAAATCACATCCATGCCTGTAATAGATTGTTCATCTGTGCTCATTTTCCTTTCCCTGCTGCAAAAACCCTTCATCTGTCTGAATTACCAACTTGCTCACTTGTTCCAGTCTTCCATTAATATTTTGTCTTTGTTTATTCAGTATATGCACCATGTTGCTAGAGGACTTTCCCATTCTAGCTCAGGGTTCTTATCTCATAGAAATGCCACAAACAAATATTCTTCCTGGGTACAGTCCAGACCCCTTGCATTTGAAAAGTCAGCATGCGTGGAATATGCAGTCACAACCAGTGACTGAAACATGTGTCTGTTTCTACAGTTATGTAGTGACAAGCAGCTATTTTTATTTGAAAGGTGAATTGTAAAATCTTTCAGCTTCCTCCCCCCAACCCTCCAAAAAAAAAAAAAAAAAAAAAAAAAATTGGTACATTTGTTGCTTTGTGTAAACCTCTTGCAAAACGTCTTCAGGCAGTCAGATGATTGGAGGCATGAAAAATCCAATTTCCACATACTTTTATCAGCAGCAATAGATATTTTTTTTCCTTTGAAAACCATCCAGCACTTGACAGATTGAAACTAGTGAGGGAATTTGTCCAGAAATTATACTTTCTTCAGAGTCAGGTGTCAGAGAACTTCTGAAATGAAGAGGGCTGGAGAGGTCTGAACCAGGTAATTTTCTGCTTTAGTGTACTGCAGCCATTTGAATGTGATGAGTCAAATTCTGCAAAGCACCAGATAGTGAGGATCTCGGGACAACAGAAAAAAAAACCCAACATTTTGAGGAGGAAGCAGGGTCAGGCAAGTCTTTGAATGATAAAGTGATAGGCCATGAGGTTTCGGTGTCTTTGAAGACCAGATTCTGAGTGAGGTTATTAGCTGTGGTCTGCTGTGGTACCGGTGGCACTCCTGGAAGGCTATTTTATGTGTGGGCCATTTCAGTGCAAGAGTGACTGACAATTGCTGAGCAGAGTACGGACTGCTTGCAGTCCTCTGCTGCAGCAGCTCACGGTGGAAAAGTTCTTGTTTGTTAGCATTTTTGGCTATTGTGCTGCTTATCCACTGGAGTGCTCAGTCCTTATTCACTGTGCATTAATTCCTCACTCCCTCTGTCATAGGCAATATGATGGGGTTTGTTCTGTAGTTTTCAGAGTGCACACTTGAATTTATGTATGACACACATGCTCGCACAGCTCTAGCCAGGAATTGGGTCCTGACTGATTGATTTTGATTTTGATTTTTTTTTTTTTTTTAGCTTAGGTCAGTTTGATCTTGCATTGACCCCAGAGAGGATATAAAAATATGTTGTAAAGCATGCAGTGTTTGTTTAGTTTGAAGATACTTTTTTTTTTTAAGTTTCTTTGTCTAGATAAGATGACTAGTGAAACAGTGAAAATTTGGGAAAGCTGTGCATTGAGCAAGAATAGGTTGCTCTGAACAGGCACTCTTTAAGTCCCACTCTCTTTACAGGGCTCAAAGGAGAATTTCTCTCCCTGTGTTTAGATCCTCTCTTGATGAGATTTGTTTCTCCATCTGTGTCCTTGCCTGTAGGTACTGTGCTGCAGGCGCCAGGGAGAGTTGACCACAAAAGGCATCCTGGGAGCATTGGACATAATTCTCTGTAGAAGGGTTTTAGCTGTCGGGGTCACCCACAAATCTGCTGGAGTTCATTACTGTTTAAAGGGCCCCAGGGGCATCTCTTAAAGTGCTTGCTTAATCCTTGCTATTATGTGAACTTTACCACCTAGGAAATCTAAGGATTTGAGTCTTGCTAAGTGCTAAATGGTCCCTTTTCCTCAGCCTTCAAAAAGAAGTGAAAGAGGCTGTACAATTCTTGGAATCAGTGAAGCTTTTTTTATGTATATTTGTTGATGGAAAGATGTCGGAGCTAATTGACTAATAATAAGTGGCACAGTGCTAATGGCAGTGGCACTGAAAGAGAAGGTGTGGAGTGACTGGCTAGCATTGTCTTTACAAATCCTCACACAGTTCTTACCTAAGCTTAATTGTAGAAGGCCAATAAGGATTTTCCTCTCGTCTTTGAAAGGCATTGGTTATGGGAGCTTTATATAGCAGGTGATTGGCAGAATGGAAAGGCCTGAAGAACTGGAAAAGGATTGAATGTTTATATTCCTTGTGATCATGAAAAATAGGCGAGGATGCAATAGTTATTTAAGGCTGAGTTCTTTAATGAAGAAGGATTGAGTTGTTAGGGGGGCTTGGGGGGTCAGGCGGAGTAAGGCTGTTTTATTTAGCTAGAGCTAAAATGCGTGAGGCATTTCACTGAAAGCTTAATTTCCAAGATGGCCTTACATCAGTATGACAAGGCTGTGCTCTATTCTTCTGGGGGGAACAGGGGGAAATGAACCAATGTCTGCACTTCACATAACACATTATTGAGGCATGCAAGTGTGTACACAGGTAAGGGAGGAAATTGTGTGTATGCCAAAATATAACCAAGACTAAATCAAAGCTGCAGTCAAGCTCAGAGAATAATCCTCTTTGAAACACTGTTGTCCAGTACCCAGAGTTGTGATATTAGTATGTGCATGCCAACTGCGGTATTTCATCTTAGAATCACAGAATGGTTTGGGTTTGAAGGGACCTTAAAGATCATTTAGTTCCACCCCCCCTGCCATGGGCAGGGACACTCTCCACTAGACAGGGTTGCTCAAAGCCCCATCCAGCCTGGCCTGGAACACTTCCAGGGATGGGGCATCCACAGCTTCTCTGGCCAACCTGTTCCAGTGCCCCACCACCTTCACAGTGAAGGATTTCTTCCTTACACATCTACTCTAAATCTACCCTCTATTTGTATAACAGTATTTCAAAATGGACAGGATTTTAAGTGGTATGTGTCTCTAATTGTCACATCCAGCTGGATCTGGCTCTGTTTTCAATGGAAACAATAATGGAGAAACTGCCATAAACTGAGTTAATATGAACTAGAAGCTGCATCCTAGGTTGGTAACAAGCGCCAGCTATTTTGGAACACATCTCAGTATTTTGGCTCTGACTTCAACCATCCCATTTCTCTTGGGAGGGTTGTTTTTGATTTTGAATTCTTGAGTAAGTGGCAGGTGGATTGAGAGAAAAAAGTTGGCCTCCTTCGGAGTGGCATGTCCCTCACTTGACACAAGTTACTGTTCTGTCATCATTAGATTACAAGCAGATCATTTAATTTCCCTGTCTGGCAACTGACTACGTGGGAATGGGCATAACGGCGCATTGCTAGTGCACAACAATAGTAGGGATAACTGACTTACTGCAGCAAGAGAGCTTATGTAAGCAGCTAGGATGTGATAGATGCATCATGTTTTTCTATGTTGTTTAGGATGTGGTTGTCTCTGTGCTGATTGAAGCTTTTGTATAAATTTGGTCATAAAAATACATTTTTTTATAATGTTTTCAGCTTTAGAAAAAACAAAAACAAGCTCAGAAAAGGTGAAGTTTTCATCCAAGTGATAAAGAGCATTTTGAATTATTAACCGAACTACAAATACATAAGTTCTGTGTCAGGAATACTCCTTACCAAACTCTCATCTGATTCTTGTACATGTTTCAGATTGGCAAATATAGCTGGTGAGAGCTGTGGCCCTAGATCGCACCAGCAAATTCTGCAGGTACCATGTTCACTCAAGATACAGCACAATTTTTATTAGTCCCACAGAGAGCATTAGGTTGAGTGCATGAATTTCACTTTGGTATGGCAGGTTCACGCAGTTAAAAGGGTGAGGGCTGCTGTAAGAGCATGTTGCTAGGAGTTAAGTCATGGTAGTGAACGTAATGAAGTTGTTTCCTTTGTTGTGGTGTATCATTTGTTTCATGAAGTGCAGAGGCTTTTTCAGAAGAACAGAGCTGAGACTTGTCACACTGAAGCTAGGCTATCTTGAAAATTAAACCTTCAGTAACTCTCCTTGGAAAGGTCCTCCTTTCTGGCCTCTCACTTAGTAAACGTGCTGAGGTTATCACGTCGTTGTGTTTTCTTAATCTATGTAGTCCAAAATTTATTTAGCACCTTCTTGCCTTTTGGATGGTGTTATCTCTTAAAATGATGACAGATTACTCCTTGCCCACAAAACTGTCAGTTTACCTCATTAGAGAAATTGGTTTTAAAAGGATGAATTTTTAGTTTTGGTCTCTCCAGAGAACATATTCAGAGGGCATAGCATTAGGCCTGATCCAGCAGGAAACTGTTCAGAGGTTTCATGTGGCTGTGGATCAGGGTTGATATGAGGACAGTCCGAAATAATGTTATGACAGGTAATTTTTCTGTTTTCAATGTGTTTGCATAGTAATAGTTTTGGTAAATTCTCTCTACAGCAGTCTTGACTGGAAGTATCCCTTTTAATTTATGTTCAAGCTTGGTAAACAAAGCAAGCCTTCCAATTCTAATTTACATATGCATCATAGTTAACACCTTCTGCATATAAAACAGTTTACCATGCATGTATGACTTACTACAGTCAAATATGTACAAGAGTATGTGTAGTTCTATGTAACTTTATGCATGGCTTTTTCACATAGCAAAAAAAAAAAAATCTTCCCATTTTAAATATGGGGGAAAAAATGTTAAACCACAAAAGTTAGCAGAAGGTCTTAGGTGGGTTCGTGTGAAACAACTTTTAACTTGCTGTTTTGTGTCTGCTAACACTGAACTATTTGTCCAAATATAACTTTATAGTTACCATAAAGTGCTGCATCTTCAAATGCACATGAACTATAATTCATGCCTGTTTTCAATTTACTGCAAAGAAATTCTGCAGTGCTTACATTCTGTGATGTTAGAAGAGAATAGGTTGGGAGAGATGGGAGGGATCTTTAATGTGACCTTGTTACTGGGGTTTGTTTTAGTTTTGTTCCTTTCCCACCTGACATGTGAAAATAATGTCATTGTTGCAAAATCTAGATTTTTATCTTTTTGGCTTTTGAAAATTGGGAGCAGTAATTCAGCCTTTTAAGTGTATCTTTCTCCCTCATTACTCTCCTCCCATCCCAATTTCTGGTTTGTACAGAGATTAATTATTAAAACATTTTGGTTTGCAGGGAGGCTGTGTAGATTCAACAAATCAGAGCCTTGCTCTGCTCCTCATGACCCTTGGACAACGGGATGTTTCCAAAGTCCTGTTAGGACCTCTGTCTCCATACACGTAAGTTGTTTTGTTCAGTTCAATTACCCAGTCTTGTTTAATTCACTAGTTTTATTGCACAGCTATTTTATGTATATGGAAGACTTTGCTTGTGGCTATAGAACAACTTGTACCCATCCTCAAATGAGACAGGTGGTGTAAGTTACCTGGTGTTTATTTCTACATGTTAGAAGATGATTCCCTTACTGTTCTATATTATTCCTGATTCTGAGAATTGCAGAGATGGGGTTTATTATTCGTTCTTGGTCTTGGATTGTATGCGTACATCAGTTTGCTTTTTGTTGCCTAGCATACACTACTGTGTTTTCCTAGTGATCTCTCTCTAGCTGTGGCATTAAATGGCATGTTTCAAATGGCTAGCCAAATGCTAAAGCTGTGATTGTCCATAGGAAGCAGCTTAAGAGTTCAATTCATGGAGCTATGTGCAGCCCCACACCTTTAGCCCTGTTGGGCAGCGGATTTCTATCTAATCCTTCAGTCTCAATTTTTATTAAAGCTTTGCGGCTGGCAGTTGTTCAGAGGATAGGAAGAAACTAAGTTTCTTACATTGGCAGTTGCAACAGACAGGTTAGGGAGAGGGCATCGAGTATCAAAAATTTCATTTACTCTATCAGACTGGCAGGTGATTGACTAGATCACAGTTATACCTAGAGACTGAGCAGTTTTCCTTTAATCAAATGGAGGGAGGGTTGTTTATCTGATAAAGGCATCAGATAATAAGACTATGAACTGTCCTTTTTCAGTTATCATGGTACCGGTGCTGTATACATGAAAGGTACAGTACTGTGATAACTGAAGAATGGTGGTGCCATCACATTGAGAGCTAGAAATTGCTTAACTGCTATTCTCAACCCCTGTTATCTTGGAAACAACATTCATAAGATTTTGAGGGGAAGACAGGGAAGCCTCCCATTGCACAGGGTTAAGGTAAGTATCCACGTGAAAGGCTTACAGAGAGTAGATACTGGTGTTTGAAGTGCACAGTTCAAGCATGTGAAACAACCAATCACTTGTCATTGTGCAGTCTTTTTTTTTGTCTTTTTTTTTAAGGTTATGTTATGAAAATCACACAAGCGCGCTTTTATTTTGTAAGCAGGCTGATTTCAAATGGGTGGGTTGTCCCTTCTTCCAAGCTAGGAGTGTGCGGCAAGAATGAAGGTCAGGAGCAGACATCCTGAAGCAGCGTGTGTCATGTGAGATCCTAAAATTTGTGATTCTGTGACTCATCAGTCCTGTGAGGATCTATTCAGAGATCACGCAGCTCTGTCTGCAGCACCCCCATGGCCTCACTAAGGCAGCTCATAAAGGACTGGGAAATTTGGCTCCTGAGCAACTCATTAGATGCCCAGGCTTTGGAAGTAAATTGCAGTACTGTCATGTTCCACTTCATTGTCCCTTCTTTTCTCTCTTGGGGCTCTGACATCTCTGCATTTAACATTTTCACCCTGCAGAAGCCGAAGCTATTTATAAGCCGTGTTATGCTAGAGTGGCTTCCCTGTCTAGCACAATGTAGCATGAATGTGACAGTTCAGTTGGTGGATGAGAGCACTGTGTGGGGGACATGGTGCTTTGGAATACATCCATCAGGAGGAGGAACCGTCTCCCAAGTATTTCCACAGGAGGCATCCTTTGCCCCCACGAATGGCACGGGGCAGGGGGGTGAGGGGTGGGCAGGCAGGCAACACCATGAGCGTGGCTGTCCTGGGAGGCACTGGGGACACCAGTCCCAAAAACACCACTTGGCCTGCGGCCATCTGGATTACTTCCTCTCATCTGGTGCTCCAGATCTCATGGAAGTTAAGTGCCTCTCTGTCAAGCTGAGCTTAAAATCAAATTGGGTGCTGGCTGTGTTGCCACCTGGCAGAGGTTGGTCTTGCAGGACAGGTTTGTGCAGGTGAACTGCTGTGAGCCCGGGGTACGTGAAGGAGAGCAAAGGGAAAGCTTGAGTGCCCCGGCCCTTGCTTGGTTGCGCAGAGGTTTAGGGGCTTCAAGGGGAGGGGACAAGGCCAGGTGCAGCGCCCGAGGCGGGCCTGCCTCGGGCAGGGCGCTCTGCCCGGCCGGGCTGCCGCTTTCGATTGTTGCCCGAGCCCTGCCCGGGGTCGGGGGTGACCGTCCCCGCCCGCACCCAGACCCTCGACCGGTCGTCTCCTTCCTCCCCGTCCGCTGCCGCCGGGGCCGGCGACCGGGCCGGGGCCCGCA